TGATTTAGACAAGGTGCTTAATCTTTGTGAGTCTTGCTCCTAAAGTAAAGGGCTTGGAATGTAGCATGAGTTTTTAATGTCTGTGTTAGTACTAATTGTTTGAAAACTATAAGCTGTTGAAAGTATAGTCTTTAATAAATACCACTTTCTTTTTAAGAAATTCAAAAAGCGAATCATTTCATTGGCAGAATATGGTTAAATATGAATGTCATATTTGAAAATTGGTTTTATTTAAAATGATAGATTAGTCACATAAAAAATCTTCATTAAACAAATCAACTTGCATGTTTGTGAAATTCTTTAGCTATAATATTTTATTGTTACCTAGCTTATAAAATTTTAACAAAAAAGAAACGTAGTCAGTCCATATAAATGTTATTACCTCATACATTTGATATTTATGATTACAAAAATATTTCCACTCACTTGATTTATGACTTAATGGAATTGAGAATTTAAATATAAATCTTTCAAGTACAAAAATTATAGTTTTAAATATCAAAGGTTAATAGGACTTAATGACCAAAGAAATGTCTAAGGAGATACCTTGATAATTTACTGATTTGTCCTGGAAGTGTAATTTTTAGTAGTGTGTTCCACCTTGACAGTGCATTTCTTGTCTTGTTATAATTTCAAACATAAGCAGTAGTCAAATAAAATCAAGTGAATCAATATTTTACAGTCCATATTTTACTATTTTTTGTTATATACCCTTTGTTATAAATTCCCAAATCTCTTTGAATTAAGCTTAAATAATGTGTATATTTAAACTTTCATCTTTTAATATTTGCCCTACCCAAATGTATTGACAGTGATATTTAATGATTAAAAAACTGTAAAACTAATCTTGCAGAACTGTTACAAAACATGCTATAGTAGAGACAAGGCACATGGATGGATATTAGTTAGGGAATGAGGGAAGGAAGGAACAGGTGGATGGAGAATTAAGAGTAAATATGAGAAAGAATTGGTGTTCCATGAACCAAAGGAGGACAAGGTGAAGGAATTTGCTCAGGAGTTTGCTACATGCAGTCCATTTCTGAAACACATACAAACGCACACGCAGTGCTTCAGTTTGGCTGGAGATGCGTTGGTCAAAAATGTGTGCAGCCAATGTGACTGTCCTGTGCGCTCGAAAGTGCTCACCGTGGTAAATCATACGTCACATCTTTTTGTTTCTGTTTTTGAGTCAGAGTCTTGCTAAGTCACTAAACTGTCCAGGCTGGACTCATATTTGATGTGTTCCATCTTTCCACAGTGCTGTGAGTACAGGCATGTGCCAGCAAGCCTGGCTAGGTCATGTGGTTTTTTTTAGTGGTAATTTAAAAAATATCATGGGATGATGAAAACAGCAGCATAGATTCCTTCTGTGGTACATCGTGCTCTTTTGTCTGGACTCAAACTCAGCCTCATATTACAGATAGAAAAGAGGATGATTTATTTAAGAAGTCAGTATGATTTGCATACATTTCCTCTTTGACTATGCTGAAGTGTGCTCAAATGAGATATTGTCTAGGAAGGTAGTGAGCCTGTTGCCTCACTGTCTTCTTCTAAGTCCACACAAAGCAACTGTTTGAGGCAATCTGATCAATGTGTGATTTGCATTTCTAGACCATACCTTAAATTTTCCTTGGTGCTTTTGTTGTAGACGTTTGTATACATGTGACATGAATCCTTAGAATCCAGAATGTTAAAAAGAAATGCAACTTCTAATACATGATTTTAGTAAACCACATGAGATTTGTTTTAAACCTGGAAAGACTATCTTTTTTTTCTTTTTTTTTGTACCGGGGATCGAGCTTGGATCCTTATACTTGTAAGGCAGGTGGTGGAACCACTGAGCTAAATCCCCAGCCCTGATAAACTTCATTTTTAAAAAACAAATTTAGTCTATTTGCAGATGGATTTTAAGAAACACAGAGGCTACAGAGCTTTGGAGATTTTAGGGTACCCTCTCCATGGCACCCCATAGCTCATTAACTAACAGCTTAGGCCAAACTACACACTATCACTTAAACTAATCAGAAAAAGAAATTACTATAATCTAATTCATAGGTTTTCACTAGTAAGCAAAAGGGAGAGCTTTGCTTTCTTTTGGATTGCTTTTCTGCTGGATAATTTTTTGATTTCTGTGATTTTTGGAGATGACCAAGATGTTTTACCATCACTTATTTTCCTATTTAGTTCAAACTAACTTTTTCTCATATTATCAATGGGAATTAAAAAGTCTTTGAACTGCATTCAGGAGGGGTGCAGTCATATTCTTCTTGTTCTTTTGGAAGTAGCTATGATATTCAAAGCAGTAACCCCTCTCCCCGAGGAACGTAGCTTGCTGCATGACCGTACCAGCCTGTGTATGGGCTGTGCCAGGTGTATACCTTAGCCAAACACATTCACACAGTGGCTCTTGGACAGGTGTGAAAATATCACATTAATTTCATTAAAGAAGTGAGCAGTGAATTAACAGTGGAGACAACTTTAGAAAGAATCTATCTTTCAAAAATTTATACTTACAAAAAATAGCTTTTAGAGTATGCCAGTATCAGCAAAGGGCATTTTAAGGTCATAGTTAGATATTTTATAGGTTTTGCTATTCCCCAACCGCATGATACAATCCTACTTAAGCTAGACAAATATGTCACAGTAACCTGCGAATTGCTACCATGAAGTGACTGATTTAACTCAACAAAATTGGTAGTTCTCGATGAAGTACCCTATCAGACTGCGCATTTTCCAGATGATACAAAATTATGTAGAGATCAAGCAACTCAGATGAACCACATAGCCAGATATCTTTATTCTATGTATTTTAAAGCCCTTTACCTCTTAGAAATACTATCTTTCGATTATCAGTCTATCTTACATAAATTTTCATTTCATATCCTTCTTTTGCTGTCATGTATATTTGAAATTTTTGTTTAGTATCTTCATTTCTTGTGTTGTCATGTATGTTTGCAATCTTTAATAAAAAAAACAAATACTATCTCAAAATAAACACAAAAGGGCTGGGGAATGTGTATAGGTCAGTGCAAATATTTCATATTCGATAAATTCTTAAATTGGATAGGAAAACTTTTATGAATGAAACAGAAAATTTCACTACTAAAATTTTATTTTCTCAAAACTACCCACATTTAAGAATCATTTTAAATATATTTTAATGCTTCTAAATTGGTATTTCAAACTTGGAATAGTTGACATATTTAATAGATGATTTGTTAGTGTAAGTATGTAATTTCATTTATCAGTTTAAATTTTGGTTCAAAACACTTTAATGTCATCTTTTTGTGAAAGTTCAAATTACAAAAAGATTTTGGAATTTGGTAGTAATAGGAAGGCAGATTATAGGAGGGAAAGAAGTGTCTGCATCAGGCAAAAAACTGATGAAGAAAAATGATCTTTTTCCCTACCCAAATCCCTAAGTATTCAAATAGAGTCTATACGTTATGAAACTACTGTGAGCACGTCACCAAGAGACACCCCTGTAGTTGAGCCCCTGGGAGTTTTCTATCCTGCACATGAGGTCACAGCAGAGAAGAGTCCCGATTGTTGGTGTACTGAATTTTCTAAGTGCTCCTCCCGAGAAGGCGTTGTTCAGAAACAGAGACGGATTCCAGAGTGTCTTGGAGAGATGGCTGGCTGATAGCAACAGTATTAACAAGTAAAGGATGTTGATAGGCGTTTAGGGTGAGCTGTCGTGTGGGGAGCACAGCGTGCTCTCCCTGCCTGACTGCCAGGCTGAAAGGGTCAGAGACCTGTCTCAGCACAGCTGGCCCTGTGCATGCAGATAGTGAGAACCTGGGAAGGCAACAGATGGCTGTTACCCATCTCTGTGACGTAAACTATAACCCTGGGTGACGCTCGCCTGCTCATACTCTATGTGCACTGGACCCCGAGTTTGCATCAAAATGAAATGTTTTCATATGTACAGTTGTGAGAGTGGCTAGGGCGGCCTTCTAGACAAACCTGTCTGTACCTCATGTGCTGCTTATGGTGAACTGATGGAGCCCAGTTTTCACATTTCTTGGAATAAAAGCAAGCAAGAGCTTCCTCATCATTCTCATTTGTTTAAAAATTCGGTTTTTATTTCATTTTCTTTGTTGTTCTAAGCTTCCTATACTAGAATACAAAAGCTGATTATTCGGAAATCACCCACCTAACAGGGACCGTAATCTCAGGAAATTGTGGCTAGAAAAATAAGCAGACTTTCAAACACGCTGGCTTTCCAACAATATGCTCAGCATCCGTTAGCTAGGAGCCGGCGGTATTAATCGACTTTATTCATGTCTGTCTGCTTTCGAGTCAATTAATTTTTAAAATAAATGTTGCTCAAATAATACTATTTCCGTTAGTCCTTCGTTCTTTTCTTCTTTCATTCCTATTTGTCACTGATAAGCATGTGATATCCTGAAACAAGTAGTATTTTGGTGTCTGAATATGCAGAAAAAAATCTTTTTAGTTAATTGGAAATGTAAATGGCCAATTAATGTTTCTTAAAAACTGGTCTTATTCTAGAAACATGTTAGCAGTATCTAGCAGAAGTTTTCATCGTTATTTTCTCTATTAATTATCTATTGGCATTGCCTTCGGATCTCACCGCTTGCAGCTAATCAACACCTCACACACGCACTCTTGGTCTTCGAATGATTAGAAAAGGATTGGAAACAGGACAACAAACATCCTTCCTGTTGTCTCTACACTGAGAAGCCCGTTAGCAGTCATGTGTGCTTCAGTTCATGGTGGATGATGACGACTTCAGATTGCTTCTTGGCTTATAGTGTTTGTCTCCCATAGCGGATTCTTTGAATATCTCCCTTGTGAATGTAAAGGAAAATTATTTTTCACAACGATAGGGTTGTTGCTTATAGGGCATAAAAGACTGGACATGCATCCCTATTCTGTGTGCCATCTACAGCGATGCTGGAAAGTACCACCTGGCTCGTTTTGTGAAGACCCTCTTAGGGCCATCTCTCACCTCTGTCTCCGTGCTTTCTCTGCAGAGGTCTAAGATCGCTGTGTTTGATAAAATGTGGACCTACATGAGGAGCGCAGAGCCCTCTGTGTTTGTGAGGACTACCGCGGAGGGCGTGGCCAGAGTCCGCAAGTCCAAAGGCAAATACGCCTACCTGCTGGAGTCCACCATGAATGAGTACATCGAGCAGCGGAAGCCTTGCGACACCATGAAAGTGGGCGGCAACCTGGATTCCAAAGGCTACGGCATCGCAACACCTAAAGGATCCTCATTAAGGTGGGTGGAATAGTATAACAATATGCTAAATGTTGTTATAGTATCCCACCTACCCTGATGTGACTTTAACACTCTTACGGTTTGTATACGGATATGAGGTAACTCACAATCACAAAAAAAAATGACCACAATAGTTTCTGAATGTTTTTAAACATTTAGATACTGCTTTATACATAAGGCAGGATTTGGTTTGGTTTGGTTTGGTTTTCTTTTATATTTACAAATAGCTTTGTTTTTTGTTTTTTGTTTTTTGTTTTTAATTTGATTTTTTTTTTTTTTTTTTTTTTTTTTT